CATAATGATTCTATGATCCTATGATTCTAAGTATACGTTTGAGATCACAAGTGTTCCATGTCTAAATTTAAAGAAACATTGAATACATTTGAACTGAGTTCATAACAAGCAAAAGTTTTGTATTTTCACAGAACAAACTGCTAATTGCACATCCTTCCAATAATTTTCTTTAATTACTTTAGGTCACACTGGATTTCTTTTTCTTCTTTCCTAGGCCCTCAAAGAAAAGGATGACCTCAGAAGTCAACTTCTCTCTGCTATACACCAAATAGAAAACCTTCGGAAAGAACTGAACGATGTGCTTACAAAGAGAGCCCAGCAGGAAGAACTCCTCCACTGCAAAGAGGTGAAACTGAATGAAATGAAGTCTCACCAGGTATCTCTTGAAGAAGAGATCAAAGAAGTTCAAGGTACTGTATGTAAATTGGAGAATGAGTTGAAAAAGCAAGTCTTTCTACAAAATCAAATGCAAGCTGAAAAGGAACACTTGGAGACAGAACTTGCAACTAGTAACTTGATCCACAAAAAAGATCAAGAAAGACTCTTAGAAATGCAAGCAGATGTAAAAAACTTAAGCTCTGTGCGTGTGGAACTAACAAACAGAATAGCAGAAGAGGAGAAAGTCAAAAAGCAATTGCATAAGAGCCTCTCGGATCTCCAAAAACAGCATTTTCAGGAATCTAAGCATGAAGAGATGACTTCAGCAAACAGGCAGCTGAAGATGGAAAGAGAAATTCACCAACAGGAGCTGGCAGATCTTAGATCAGAGTTACAAAATGTTAAAATCAAACATGAACAAGACATTCAAGAGCTCATGAAACTCCTTAAACAAGAAAAGGATGATGCAGAGGCTCAGATTAGAGTGCTAAAGGTACTTATTCTAAAGAATTCCAATGCCACTTTTTTTTTACCTATTGAGTGATGAAGGTAGAAAAGCATGGGCTTTAAAATATTTAACACATTTAACACACATTTTATTGCAGGTTATCATAAAAGGTTAACGTTCAGGATAAAAAATGTAACATTAACAGTTTTAGGTCAGATGCTTTTCTTAGTTCAAAAGTAGTGAAATAGGTATGCCTGATCAGAACAGGAGGAGATACGTGAGGCTGTAGTGTTTTAATATGATTTGATCCTTTCTTCTGCAACTGTTATTTTTGCAATTATTGTCACAACTCTTAAAGAACTTGCAGTATTTCAGGGATGATGCAATGTTGTAAATGTTTAAATGCAGAAATACTGTCACTGTATCTGGAAACACTTTCAGAATGTGAAGAGTGATAACACTGGTTAAGGTTAATTTTGATAGTTCTTTCTATTGTGAAGTTTTTTAGAATTTCTAGTTTCTGTACAGTTTCTCAGAAAGGTCTCTTCTCTATCTTCGTATAGTAAATGATGAAATATAGCATTTTATTAATGAAGAAACAAGTTAATGTATTTAGCTTACATCATTTGCTCCTGACTCAAGGCTGTTGCATTGGAAAGAAAACGAGCATTTTAGTGGCTTTAAATGGTCTGAATAAAATTGAAAAGTGAAGTTGAAGTGGTCTAAACTGCACAATTAACTGTCAAAAGTTGTATATAAGCTATACATCACACTTTTATTGAAGCAATTTCGATTACAAGGTTAAATATATATGTAAGATAGTATTCTGTATGTCCTAATAATAATAATTTGTACGTTCATATTAATGGAGGCAATAGTTTTCCAGATAGGTTGTAAATTACCAAGATATTTTGAGTATACTTCTGAAGCACTATAAATATGCTTCCCACCTCAGTCCCATCAAATAAAAAATTTGCTCATGTCAAAATTCTACCAATTTAACCATAAAAAGCTATAAAATCCTTAATCAAAGCATAAGTGATTCATGATCTACTTCATCATAAGTAATATGAGCATGTTTTTTCCCTTTCTCTTCTCACAAATACGCAACTAGTTAAAAATGCATTTTTTCCACGTTTTTGCAGTTATGAATTGACGTTGACAATGACATTGAAATTAAGACTGTACATGTATTATCAAGGGGAGAGAAGGAAAGTGTATTCTGGATGATAGTAATCAAAAAATGAGTTGATTGTGACTATGTGTTCCTCTTCTATGGAAAGGTCAATCTTATAGTAAGGGCCTTGATATTGGTACTGATTGTTGTATCTAAATATGAAAAAAATTCACTCCCTTCTTTCATTTACAGTGCCGTGACTTTCCCAGAATCCCTAATCTACACACTTTTTTTTTTTTCACAGCTTTGTTTCTCTGAAACAGAGAAGAGCATAGGGCTTGAGGGAGATAAATTTTGTAAGATATTAGGGTAGGTAACTAGTACACAAAATGATAATGCGCAACATTCTCTTGATTCAAGACTAAAAGTGCAACAAAATAAATAATCGTATCCATCTGTAGGAAGATCTGATGAGAACATGTCATCAGGCAAGTGATTTGGTTACTTTTTGTCTGAACTTGTCATTACATTTCAATTGGGTTTCACTTTTATGGACATGCTTTTCTTCCAAATTAAGGTAAACTTAGCATGCATTTTATCAAATTGTATTTAAATATTGCAGGTTTAGGGAAATCCAACGGAAAGTTTTTTTACCTATTATACTTTTTTAAATTTTTTTTCAGGCTGGTAAGTTTTTGCACCCAGTAACCAATTGTCTTTTACAGTAATAATCTTGACCTTATTTATGCATCAGCCTCATCCAACCTTTGTAATTGCTTTTGGGAAAGAATATACATAACCCTATCCAAAGGTTGTTAATGTTAAAGTCTTAAAAATAAAGGTCAATTGGGAGTGACTTGAGGAATAAAGGGAAATTTAACACATTTATTAAGACCTAAAGTCTTAAACTTAACTAGAGGAGGAATTTTGATGAGTTACTTCTAGGGAATCAAGGGTGCAGAGGCCTGTGTTTACAGGACCTACCGTGAATAGATTGTAAAAAGATGTGACTTTTAATCCTTACTGTTCTTCCCTCTCTTGCCTCCTCTGTGTAACACTTTCTTCTTCACTCTTGTCTGGCTTTCTGTAGTGCTGCACTGGATTGGAAAATTATAAGGTCGTTAAGGATTTTCTGGGGTAATAGAGGAGGTACCATAGGAATGTTGTATGTTGCAGTAGAACTGGAGAAGGGCATAGAATTTTGTATGAGATGTCAGTGTTGAGAAGGATCTTACTGTCTCAGTACTGAGATTCTGGTGCTTAAGCTTTTAATTCTGTTTCTGCTAGAGCATCCTCAGTGACACCCAGCCAATGTCTCTATAATGTCTTTCTTTTTTTTTTAATTTAAAATTATAGAGAAACTAGGCATAGTAAATTAAGTGGTTTGCTAAGTGATCCCCAACCAGCTCTGAATTTGTCCCCTAATTTTGTTACATGCCGTCATTTGCTTTAAAAACATCCTTGTTCTTTTTAGAATAATGAAATACAAAATGTACTCATGCCTGACAGTACTTTCAAGTATTAATCTTTAATGTAAGATTATATATAGAGAGATGTATCTATACACACAAAATTGTGTATATATATGTATTCTTTTTGAATTGTTTGCTATACATATACCAAGTGGGTGTAGTTCTTTTTTTGCTGAAGACTATCAAATGTGAAAAGTGGCTTCAATCCAGATCAATTAAATTATGGTTGCAGCTGCCTTGTCCATACTGGAAATTAATAAAAATTAACTTTCTCCATTGCATCTCAAAGGTAAGTGAGGAATTTGGTTCTTGGATTGTCTCCATCTGCATAGATGTTATAATACAATTACCTTTAGTAGGAACTGAAAAGTTGATTTTATAAGCATAATCACACAAAATATTTTAGGTATTGCAGGCATGTCTTTGTGTCCATGAGTCTGTGGACTTAGGACACCAACGTTCTTTACCAAAATTGTCCTTTGGAGGAGTTTTTGTAACCTGTTAGCTCTGGTGTCTAAATTAACTCGTAAAACTTCTCTTCTTACCCTTCTTCCCCATAAAAATTATATTTATAGTGTAATTGGGAGAATAGAATTTTTACTTTTCCTTAGGAAGGAATTTTCTCTGCAGGTTTATTTTTGTGTGTAACTACATGCCACAATTCATCTAATATGATGCTGGTTTTGAGTAATATGTATTTTACTTCTTTGTTTTGTGTATTTTTTTTGCATTTTCTAGATATTCTGGAGAATTTCTCAAATCTGTCAGTTTCAATCTGTTCTCTTTTCCACTGTGAACCAATATACTTTATTCATTCACCGGTTTAGGGCTTTCAAGGCCCTTAAATGTTTTCTTTGTTTTTCTCTAATGCTGTTCATTGCAAACCCACACAATACTAGAAATTAAAAAATAACAAATCTTTGCAGTTATTTCCTTGCAGATATAAATTTAATATTAGGTTCTAAAATGAAATGATAGTTTTAGACTTTCTGATTCCAAATTATTTCAGTAATGGAAAAGTTGCATAAATACTGAGCTTCTTAAGGTGATGTAAGCTGATGAGTATAGCAGAGTTGGAATGCAGAATCTGAGACTTCTATTTACTAATTTTAAAACACTGTATGGTTCCACAACTCTATGATACATGTTTTCCATGTTCAGATAGGTGATTGCACTTAATATAACTTAAATGTAAAAAATTAAATAGAATTATCCTTCCACAGATTTGAAACTCTGCAATCTGGGAATGTTTTAAAGTAACCCATATAGTGACTTTATAATCTATTTTCCCATTACCATCAGATAGAACTTTTAAAAGAGAAAAACATAGTCAAGACTCAATGTCGACAACTGGAGAAGATAAAAATTGAGTGTGATAAATTAACAGAAGAATTAACCCAAAATGAAGAAGAAAATATAAAACTCAGGCGGAAGTGTGAGTTTGCAAAACAGGAACTGGAGAAAAAGGTAAACTTACCTGGTTTTAACCATGATTTGTCAGTCACTTTGCCGATAAATACCTAAAATAAATGATGATTTATAGAAATAGATGCTAAACTTTAAACACAATAAGTACATGTACAGATTAAAGAATATATACAGTCATACTGTAGTACACAGTTTCTATATAAATCAAAGAAGGCAAAAGTACTTTGGCTGAGTCATGAATTGTATCCCTCCAAAGATTTGCTAATACTATTTAGGAGTAGAAATATAAATCCTATTTCTAATATAGGTAACTAACAAATGTTTAACCAAACACTTCTAGTTTTCTTCAGATTTTCTTAAAGTTGCAGGGCAGTTATGAACAATTTAGAGCTGATTTGAAGTAGATAATTTCTTTTGCTGTGCTTACATTACCTCTAAATAACTTGATGAAAGTTATTTTCTGCTTGAATATTTAAAACACAGCAAGTTTTTAAAGAAATTCACATCCCTTTCTTATACTGGCATTGCAGTTCAAGAGATGGATGCTGTCTGCCAGCCATTCTTGTTGCCTAGTGTTCTGGTTATTAGTATTTACTATCAAATATTAATTTGCAGTCTCACAACCTGAAGTTGTCAGCCTTTCTTTTTAAAAAACTCGTGATAAATAGAGAGTTGCTGAAGAATCTTATTTTGTAACTCCTCTTTCTGCTTTCTTGACTTCTTTTTTTCATGATTGGTTCCACAACATTGCTTTTTAATATGTTTTTCTTAACATGAATGTGTTTTACATTGTGCTGGTTTTATATCATAAATTTCTCTTCTTGCAAGATTGTGATTTCAGATAAGTATTTCTGTACATGGATGAAGTTTTACTTTCTCCAGTGTAAAGCACATACCTGTCAATATTTGATTAACTCATATTAAGACAACATTGAAAATTATTGTTTCTAATATTTGAAAAATTTTATTTCCTAGATTAAAATTCAAGAAAACAACAAAAAAAATGTACATCCTGCAGGAAATCGGTTATAAATTTTTCATGATAGCCTCATTTAAAAAAAAAAGGGTATTTTAGCCTCTAGCTGGAAGGTTCTTGCTCTTTTATTTCAATTTAGTAATTTCTCATCCTTGTGAAAAGAATTTTTTTTATATAGGCATTTATATTAATGGGGTACGAGAGGTTTGTTCATTCATTTCACATGGACTGCTGAATACTCATCAGATAATTCTTCATTGGCTCAATAGTTTCAAACTATTTAAATCTGGTAAGAGGCCCATGGATATTGTAGATTCTTCGTGGCTTTTCAGGTTTTTCAATGTAATTTCCATCTCCTATTTTGTTATTACAAATGAAGTGCACAACATCACTTAGGTATTGAGCTTCAAATCTAATGGGTTTATTTTGAATGTTGGCAAAGTGATTGTCTGGAAATAGTATTAGCTCCTTTTGTCATACTCTTTATATTTTCAGCATATACTGACTGTCTGTCAGTCAGTATGCTGTGATACTAGCCCTGAGAGAAAAATGTTGAGGTGGGTGTTCTGAGGTTTGTTTGGTTTGGCTTGATTTTTTTTTTTTGAAGGCATGGAATGAGAAAGTCTTAAACCTGTCATTTCTCCTAAACTAACAGGAAGTTCTTTAAAAGCTCAACTTGTCAGACTAATAAAAAGTACCTCAAATGAAAATTCAAAATGTGTTTTTTCTAGCTTGGGATTTTAGCGCTATAATGTCTATTATTAAGGAAATATGTTTGTAGGAGTGTTATGTAGTATTCTGCAGTCAGTTGTAAACTAGCTCCAACCTTACCCAATAGTAGGAAGATACACTTTTTGGACTGAGATGAGCTTTTATCTCTAAGCTGAAAAAGAATGGAGAAGCTTTTAAGCGCACAATCCTGTGGTCTCAACCTTTGAAGGTAAATGCAGGTGGAGAGTTCTACTTGATTGTGTTTATCAGTTAACTTAAGAGAATATTTACTATTGTGGTTTTATTGTGGATTGTCAGAAGGGGTGTTAGGATAGGAGAAATTATAATATTACCTCTTGAGAAATCTCATACTAGCTGTCATATGGTGGTATTGCGGAAGCCTATTGTGTTACAAAAGAATTCTCTCTTTTCCTTTTCCACACTTTTTATACTTTTAATGTCATTCTGTCCTTAGTGCCAATACTAATTCAAAGAAACATAGCTATTATAGATAGCTTGGATTTAATTTTTTTTTAATGAAAGGTGAAGGGGCAGAGAATAATGGTAAAATTTTCTGTTTCTTTTCTTTTCCTTCTGTGTGCTTCTGAGTCATTAGTGACTTCATTTCTCCTGTAGGCACTGAAAGTAGAATGTTGAGGAATGTTGGCAAATAGGAAATCAAGCAGATGAAAAATAAAGGAAAAAATTTTGAGTTATATATTCTCTTTTAGTCACAGTCTTTGGGAGTGAACTTATGGCATGTGATGGACTGCATTCAGTGAATAAAGAAATAGCATAGAATATGGAAGCATATGTAATGCAATCTTATCTTCAGAATACTGATCTAGATCAGAACTGCTATTTCAACTCCCATATGGGTAGTGCAGAAATACTGGAACCTGTGCATATTAAAAATTCTTGTGATTCCTTCAGTTTGAAATAACTTCTCTTTAACTCAAGTATTTTTGTATGAATTAAGTGGAAAAAAATCAGGCTGCTTATCAGGTACGGCTTTTTCACATTTAAAGGTCACCTATATTAAAAACTACCTATTTTGCTAATAGATGTAACAGCTGTGTGCATATATGTATACAATCTCCTGAAAGGAGATTTTAATGAGGTGAGTGTCAGTATTTACTGTCAAGTAACAAGTGATAAGACAAGAAGAAATGGCCTAAAGTTGCAGCAGGGGAGATTTAGGTTGGATATTAGGAAGAATTTCTTCACCAAGAGGGTTGTCAAGCATTGGAACAGGCAGCCCAGGGAAGTGGTGGAGTCACCGTCTCTGGAGGCATATAAAAGGCGTGTAGGTGTGGTGCTTAGGGACATGGTTTAGTGGTGAACTTGGCAGTGTTAGGCTAATGGTTGGACTCGATGATCATAAGGGTCTTTTCCAACCTAAATGATTCCATGATTCTGTATGTATCCCATTCACAGAACTTATATGTTAGAAATTACCTAGCTCCACTGTGATGTCTCATGAGAGCAGTGTATGAAGATTTCTAATAGAATCATAGAATCAAAGAATCATTATGGTTCGAAGAGACCTCAAAGATCATCAAGTCCAACCGTATACCTGATGCCACCCTGTCCACTAAACCATGTCTTGAAGTGCCACATCTAAACATTTTTTGAACATCTCCAGGGACGATGACTCCACCACCTCCCTGGGGAGCCCGTTCCAATGCCTAACTACTCTAACAGTGAAGAAGTTCTTTCTAATGTCAAGCCTGAACCTCCCCTGGCGCAACTTGAGACCATTTCCTCTCGTCCTATTGCTAATTACCGGGGAGAAGAGCCCAACCCCCACCTCACTACAACCTCCTTTCAGGTAGTTGTAGAGGGCGATCAGGTCTCCCCTCAGCCTCCTCTTCTCCAGACTAAACAACCCCAGCTCCCTCAGCCGCTCCTCATAAGGCTTTTTCTCCAGGCCCTTCACCAGCCTTGTTGCCCTTCTCTGAACACGCTTCAGCAGCTCAATGTCCTTCTTATAGTGAGGGGCCCAAAACTGGACACAGTATTCGAGGTGTGGCCTCACCAACGCAGAGTACAAAGGGATGATCACTTCCCTAGTCCTGCTGGCCACACTGTTTCTGATACAGGCCAGGATGTTGTTGGCCTTCTTGGCCACCTGGGCACACTGCCGGCTCATGTTCAGCTGAATAAATTCAGTTTAAACAATTGCACCTTGTCATTGCAGAAGTCCATAATTAATACATTTTCAAAATTATTGTTCTTGCTTTTCTTGCCTTTCTCAGTGTACTTGCACATACTGAAGTGTGCCTGTTGAAGTGTTTACCCTTTGCTGCATTACATCCTCCTGATCTCAGCTGCAGACAGATGTGAACCGATTTAACTTCTCACAAGATACTTTTGTTATATTAGTTATAATCCATAATTCAATGTATTGTATAACAAAACTGCTGCTGGGTTCAGTTTGACACGGTGGCTCTGTCATAGATATGAAGGAAGAGAATGTGAATTGTAAAAAGATACATAACATTTAATGATCTTTCTGACATTGAATGATAACATAAAATGCTTTCCTCAGTGCCAGTCACTGTCCTATGAGATATTCTTTGAATACTTTTCCTTTGAGAGCACACTGTCTGCCAATACAGGTTTCTTTCAGGTATCTTTTTTGGTAATGACAGAGATTAGATGCCTGTAACTAGTTTAGGGCAAAAGATAATAAGGGCAGTATTTGTTGTGGGCTTTCTTTCTGCTCATGAAAAAGAGTTTTATAATAGAATGTCTGGTTTTGATTCTCTGAATAGGCTCTATGATTGTTGGATTTGGTAGCAGTTTCTTCATAACTGATTTACAGGAGAGTAGAGAATCAAGAGAGGAACTTATGAGTACTATTAGAAGGTATTATTTTCCATGGCAAGGAACTGAACTCAGTGCATGAGTGACTATAGTGTGATTATAAGATTGAAAGATATATTGCTAATGATGTATGTTATATTATTAATGCACTTCAGGATAAACAGATCAGCAATGAAGATGATCATTTGAGAAGGATGGATGAGGCCAGACTGCAGTTTAAGGATCAGCTGCGCCACTTAGAAATGGAACAGGAATCCATTCTTACCATGATAGGAAGTGAAATTGATGCTGCTTGTGAAATTTGTTCTCGGGACTCCATGGAGAAATTCAAAGTAATTCTAAGTTTTAAGTATGCCACAGATTTTGTTATTTTCTTAATGAATGTTTGTAGCAAAATTTGTACGCATTGTTATCACCTGTCTCTTAACTGATATAGATAATTTAAGGACAATAGGATTATGGATATTTTGCTGGTACACATGTACATTGCTAGGTATTAGAATGGGATACTATGAAGATCTGCCCATGCATTAATCGTTACTGCTTTCTTTTGCCAGTTTTTTTTGTAAGAAATAGTTCTCCTTCTGTTTGCTTGTGTGAAAGGACCTTACATCTGCCAGAATTTTGAGGCAGGTTTTCCTAGGCCACCTCCTTAGAGGTGGGAAGTCCCCAAGAAAGACCTAAAAAGCTTTTAAAATTGGGGGGAAGTGAAAGAAAGGCTTTATTAAAAATTCATTTAGATGCTTTGTTTTATAAATAGAGAAGTAAATGCTGGAAGTGAAAAGAGTTTATAACCTCCTCTTTTTGTGGAGCAGGTCCTTGTATTCAGAAAACTCAGACTCAAAGTTTCAGGAAACTTGTAGCTTGCTGTAACTTGCCCCCCCCCCCCCTTTTACTTTTTCTCCTGCAAGCCTTGTCTGCCATTAGCTTTTTTCCTCAGTGTTCTCATTTGCTCCCCAGGGACAGAACCCTCTCTTCCTCCCTCCAGATGTTTCTGCATGACTAATCCGTTTAAATTGACATTGTACACAGCTGAGAATAAAGAAAACAGACAGTCCAACTCAGCTTGTTGCCATACTCACTGGCAGTATGGGTACTTCTATCACAAGTGCTTGACCTGGTGACTTTTTAGTCTTAGCTGTAACCATAGACTACTCTCTGATTACACCATTTTTGTCTTGCTATTTAAGCAGAGCATACTTTCTACTCTGCAGTTCCTGGTCACATTCTGTATCCTTACAGATAAGTCTTTTTTTATTAAGTCTTTGTGATCTGCTATAGTTGCCAGATTCTTGATCATTGAACCATGCCTTCTTGGACTTGCGTCCCACTTCCTACAGAGTTTTTTGTCTTCTGGGTAAAGTTTTGCTGATCCCTGTTTTCACAGTTCTCCTTATTGATCCCCTTTAATTGTTTATCGCTGGAAAACTTAAAACAGATTTAAACCTGAATTTTTGACTAGACAGCTAATATGAAAACAAATGTTACACAGTTCTGTGGTGCCTGGTCTGAACTTTTTTTTTAAAAAGGTAAGAAGTTTCTTTTGTTATATTGTTCCTCGACTCAATACTTTAGGTATTGCCAAGGTTTCTAAAGGTTTTCAGCCAAGTTCTTTGCTTCAAGAAGTTGCCACTGCAACTGAGGTGAGCAATGAGGAATTTAATGGATAAATACTTGTATTCAGAGAACTTAAATGCCAGACTTAATCTTCCCTGATGAAAAATGTACTGGATTTTTCTATAATCACCATGTACTGGTGTTCTAAGCAAAGAACTCCACATATATGGTTCAGATTTGTTTTTCCAGTCAGTCTTTTGTTATAAGTCTTGTGCTTGCAAGCATAACTGCACAAGTCATGCTTAAACTATAAATTGAATACTGCCTTCTTTGAACGCGGTTGCACAGAATGAGGTTTGCTGCCATGGAAGTCACAACTTTCAGGTATGCATTGCTTTGTGAAGTCACGGTCAATATGCCAAGTAAATAATTTCTTTACAGCTGTGTCTTTATGTGAGGATAATTTTCATGTAAAACGTATGTATGTATGTAATTAGTTAGTGCTGTTTGGGCACCTGTGGTCTCAGTGTAGTTAATAAAGCCCATATAAATACCTCTTAAAGAAATACGCTAGTTACAAAAATTATTGGACCAGGACTAAAACTACATAAAGACTCGCTGAATTGCAAAATGTGGTAAATTAAAAACAAGCAAACTAACAAACCCTCAACAAAACTTTTAAATGAGAGAAAGGCACAGTGTAGTAATCATGGGATCAGACCACATGAGATAAAGGATGAGCTGGACATAAGCTTAATAGTTCACTTGATTTTAAATACATTTCAGTTGAGAGAGCTGTGTATGAGGCTTCTTTTCTTCCCCTTGTGTATCAACTCAATGTGGGGAGGAAAAAAAAAGATCCATTATCACTAACTTTAATAAGTAATGTAGAAAACATGTATAGAAGTACCTTTAAAACAAGTTTAACATAGTTCAGTTTGAATGCAGAAAAAAGACATACCATGTTTTCTGATTGTATGATGTATTAATGAAGCATTCCAGCACAAGTTTTTCTTCTTTCTATCCACTTAATGAAGATTACAATTTTCTTTTTATGCCTATCAAATATTCAAAGCAAGTGATTTGTCTTTTTCATGAAAACACTAAGACCATCATCGTGAAATATAATTTAAAGATTCTGGGCAGTTGTCCTTTTTTACTTTTTGATAAGACATTTATCATGTTGCACATAGCATTTCTGTAGATATACTGTTAACAGTTCAATGACTAACAACAATTGGTTCTGCTACTTCTGGTTTATGTGCAGCCACTGTTATGGAAGGAAAGTGTGGAGGAAATGAATGGTTGAAATTCATTTGGAGGAAAAAAACAACTGAATGACTTTGAAGTTGGCCTTTTCTTAAGAAATAGCGATTTTAAAGTAGAGTCTGAATGTATTATTTTGAAATATATTATCAGATTTTAAAAAAGGGACATACAGTTTCAAACTGACAATATACACCTTGATGCAGAGATATATTCTGGGCTTGTTCGAAACGCATCATTGTAGTGATTCTTAGAAAACCATACAGATTCAGAATACAACTTACTATCATTGCAACTTAAGTTGCACCTTTAAACAAAATTTGTATTAGTGAGTTTGCGTAATTTCTTTTAAATGTGACTAAGTTTTGGGTAAGTAGTTCTATTAAACCATTTACAGATTTCCAGGCTGGATTTTTAGCAAAGAATACTTATTTGATGAATTTTCAGTAAGCAAGAAAGACTCTTTGTCCTTTCCTTGTCCAATTCCTGGGTTTATACCTATTTCTTTCTCCCCTACTATTTCATAGGCAATATCACTTACACCAACAGTGCTGAATGATCCTCATCGCTGGTTAGCAGAAACAAAGGTAATAGTCAAACCTCCTGAAATTTTACTGAATAAGCTAATATCCAACATTTATAATCATTCAGTTGAACATGTGTTTGAAAAGACACTTCAAGGGGAAAAGGAAAAATACAAAAGCATTCGCTTGGCAATAATTCTGATATTCCTAGACTGTTATTTCAACTGATGGAATAATTTTCCAAATTTTGCTATCTACAAGAAATAGCTGTCTGTATAGCAAAATAAATAGCAATGCTGTTTTTTTAAAAAAAATGCATTGAAGTAACTGCAGTGATAGCTTTTAGATCGGGTTCAATTATTTTCAGACAAGAAAAACATGAGAACATAATCAGCAGATTAAGTTTCTCTTACAGGGTTATAACAAGGGAAGAAATTGTTTTAAATAGGGCTGTTACTTATTAAATCTAAAGGATATTAGATTGGATTAGTGAAAAATTAACTATTTTCCTTCCCCCTTTGTTTGAAGCTTTTGAATCCTATAATGTGGGTGCATACATGCTTGAAAACGTCCACGTTGATGACTGGTAACTTTTGACCCTTGCCTTTCATTTTGCAGCTTTCCTCCTGCTCCCCCAACTGACACACACAAACACATTTCTTATCCAGTATCTTTTAAAAGGAGTAAGTTTCTCATAATAAAGGTAGACCACAAGAAACACTAGAAGACATGCATTTTTTTTGATTCCTGTAAAAAGAGCAAAGCCACAGGAAGACTGACGTAAAGAAAAAGTGCAACTGTTTGCATATAAGATAGTTTAGGGTTATTGATGATGTATGGTCTATGTAAGACTTGTAGACCAAGAAAGACTGCCACTATAGATAGCAGAGATAAGATTGGAATCAAAGGAGAAATGTTATGCAGGAAGTATTTTCTTCATTTAAAAAAGTGACACTGACATACTATTAAAAGATCTTTCAAAGAGCATCTAATAATAATTTGCATACATTTCTCACCTAAGTTTCTTTAACTACTAGAGGAAAGTCTAGAATGAATGACCACTTAAAATCCCTCCTTTTTTTTTGTTTTGTTTTAAATATGTAGTGTGAAAGTATTCTCTTCTACCACTTCTAGAGTTACTATATTGACCATGACCTATCTTATCTATGAGCTCACTTTTCTTTTTCCCCTGCATGAACCTTAAATAGTAACTTTTGCTCACCAGAGATGATTGATGTCACTTTTTTTAGAATGGATAAATGCTTTAGATTCCATCAACATGGAATAGAGAGAAAGGTATTCTGAAAAGAAGGAGTATCTCTTGGTGTCTATGTATACACTAATTCAATGTGAATTTCTATACCTAACAAATTGATGCTCCTGATTAAAAAAAAAGTATATTAAAAAAAAAAATTCTGTGTATTGCTTCTTCACATACAATTATCAGCCGAAATATGTCCGTCTTTTGAGACTCTTTGAAGATCAACATATGTCCTGTTACTATATGTGAATATCCCCTTTTATTATTATTATTCAGTAATGGGTACAAATGAGTAGTCTGTGACTGCAAAGAAAGTTTGACCAGTTAACATGTATGTTCTCTTGTTTTGATTAGAATTCTTTACTTTTTTTTGTCCCATTTTTTTAATGTAGACTAAGCTTCAGTGGCTGTGTGAGGAGGTAAAGGAGAGAGAAAGTAAGGAAAAAACCCTGCGGTGCTACTTACTGCAGAGCCGAGAACAGCTCAAGCACTTTACACAGATGAAGGAAGCTGAACATCAGTCTCTCTTTAAACAGTTAAAAAAGCAAGAAAAGCTTTTGGAAGAAGTTCACAGGGAAAAAAGAGGTATGTTGCTGGTTACATTTTTGTTAATAAAAGGGAGAAAGAATTTTTTTAAATTCTGCTAATTGTAATTCCTATGGCACATTCAGATGTATTTTATCAACTAAATTCTAATTTGGTAATGCGCTAGTGATAACCAAAAAACCAGTTTTTTTGTTTTCCCTTGCTGACAAAAAAGGCAAATATAATTAACTATGTTTCAACCCAGTAGAACGGTTGTATAACACATGAGTTTGCAACATGGGCAGAGGATATAGAGTTATTTTTCAGCTGTACCATCTGAGACATTTCATGACCTGGGCAAAGAGGAATTATACAAGAGTGTGAGGCAACATTGGTAATGCTGCTTTTATCTGTCAAAAAGAAAGAGACCAAAGCAGTCCTAAGTGCTGTGCAGTTACTCCCTTCTGCTTAAATTGTATGTACAAAGAACTTTGGCAAATTTTCTTCTCATCCCTTCTTCTGTATTGCAAAATGAAGACAAGCTTTGGTTCTAATTAAAATAAATAACATTATATATGGAATACTACATAAGCATAGTTTTCTCCCTCTCTTGGCATGTAATTCTTACTCTGGGGTAAGGTGTGCCAGGCTTGGTGCTGACATCCATGCTTGTCATGAAGGGGAAATACTAATCAGATTTTACTGAGCGGTGTAAGTGTTCTGATAGGGATGGACCTCACTGTCCCCAGCCAAGAACCATTTTTCAGTCTCACCTCAGGTATTTGTAGTTTAGTATTTTATAGTTTCTTGAAGATTGACTTTGAGCAGAATGCTTTTAGGAGTAGAGAAACATGCTTTCATCATGAGCTTATTATTCTAAAGTCTCAGGAAGACAGGAAGATCTCAGTTCTTTTGTCATTCTGCTTTTCATCTGTGTACAAACTCATTTATACAGTGTTACTTGTAGCTTAACTAAACACATTATTTTAATGAAGAGCATTGTTATAGTAAAACCAGAGCATTATAGCAAACTTGGAACATAAACAATTTACAGTGCATCTTTTTTTCAATCCTTAAAACTGGATTTTTTTTTCTGCTGTCAGAAATCAATACTTTGGAGGTTATAAACAATGTGAGAGTGGGTCCTTGTTAAATCCAGGCTTAGGTGAAGTGTAAAATTTTGAAGTGTAGGCTTGGACTTGGTCAGGAAGAATCTATGCATGTTGTTGATTTGAGTCGATAGCTCTTACAGTCAGTTCATAATTTATTTGTGAAGTTTTATCTTCAAAGATGTATCTTATTTTCTGTCATTACTGCTTTTGGAAGACAGCTCTGCATCTTTACTTTTCTGATGTTTAGAAGCTTCCTTTAATTTCCAAGAGGGGATTTTTATTAAGTGCTTGGAAAATTACTTGGAAATTGTACACTGACCCATACATGATGGATCTGAGCAAAACCAGAATTAACAGTTATCAATGCATGCCTTTGACATGGTCCTCCACAACATCCTTCTCTCTAAATTGGAGAGGTATGGATTTGATGGATGGACTATTTGGTGGATAAGGAATTGGCTGGGTGGTTGAATCCAGAGAGTAATGGTCAATGGCTCAATGTCCAGATGGAGAGTAGTGACAAATGGTGTCCCTCAGGGATCTGTATAGGGAGCGGTACTGTTTAATATCATATTCAGTGGCATAGACAGTGGGATTGAGTGTACCCTCAGCAGATTTGCAGATGACCCTCAGCTGAGTGGTGTGGTTGACACACCTGAGGGATGGGATGCCATCCAGAGGGCCCTGGATAAGCCCGAGAAGGGGGCCCGGGCGAACCTCATGAGGTTCAACAAGGCCAAGTGTGCAAGGTCCTGCACCTGGGTCAGGGCAACCCCTGGTATCAATACAGGCTGGGGGATGAAGACATTGAGAGCAGCCCTGTGGAGAAGGACTTGGGTGTACTGGTGGATGAAAAGCTGGACATGGGCCGGCAACATGTGCTCACAGCCCAGAAGGCCAACTGTA